AGTGGGCAAATGTGGCTGCTGTTGCTCGAGCAGAGCGCGGTTGACAACCTTGTTGAAGATGGAATCCGTGCCCACGGGTCGAAACTTGCCATTGGCCTTCTCCAGGATAGTGTAGTTGATGGAGCAAAGGGCATGTCGAATCGACTCGGGCACGGTGTTGTTGGCAATGTGGTGAAAGATCTTGTTCAAGGCAACCTGAGGACCTCCAGTGGCGGTGGTGGGGCCCTGAGGCGCGTCTCCATCAGAAGGAGCAGTCGGGTCGCTGGTAGAACCCTGGCGTGGGCCCAAGACTTGACTGAAGTGCTCCTTGATGCGGTAGATGGAGGCAAGAAGCTCACCAGACCAACCATAGGGGTCAGTGACGCCCTTCGTGGCCGCCAACGCCTTGGGGAGCTCACCCTTGGTGAAGGATAATATATAATAAATTAGGTGTTTGAACCTCAGAGCTGAAAGCAAAGCTGTGCAACCCCGACATCAAAATCACGACGGCACGCAAAACAACACAAGAGAACAAGACATTTTCATCGGCTTCTATCATGCCGAAAAGTACAAGCGCGAAGAATCACGCACAAGGAAACAAAAATCATGAAAAACGACTAAGTATAACCAGAGATACGGCCATTTGAACCACTAGACACATAAAAAGGCAGTCACACATCACAACTACAAGCCATCACAGCACAAACATAAAAAACACCACGGCACGCTCACATACAACAAGAGACAGCGTCGGGTTGAAAAGGCAACCGACCACAGAAAGAAAAGTAGGGGTCGGTGACACCCTTGGTGGCCGCCAACGCCTTGGGGAGCTCGCCCTTGGTGAAGGACACGGTTGGGGAGCTCGCAGCCGTGGCTGGTGCCAGTGTAGACGTGGAGGCGGGTGTCGAAGCAATGTACGGGGTCAGCCCGGGCGGTACCAAGAGGTCGCGCACGGCCTGAACCTCAGAATTACCAATCACGGCACGAGCCTTGTCGGCATCAAATGCTTTGGCAATCTGACCTCGGTTCAGACGGTTCGTGACGTGGTTTGCCCAGGCTTCGTCCGCCAGGTCCGGGTCGCGGACGAGCGACCTGAGGCTCTGGTCGACTGCGTCGTTCGGGTGGGCGCCCGCGCCGGCGTTCAGCTGTCCTCGACGGCTCTGCTTGCGTGCGACTGCCTTGCGCATGGCGTCCACGACCCGA